CCCACTGGAAGGTGTTGGCTTTCTTTAAGACTTTAAAGAAAGGTAAGGCCTTCTCAGCTGATCTGGACAAGAACCGGTTTAGGGCCGCCAGGCGCCCCGTCAATCTCTGGACATCCCTTACCGAGGTTGGGGGTTGCATCTCAACAATGGCCTTGATCTTCTCAGGATTTGGCTCAATCCCCCTCTTCGTAACCATGAACCCCAAGAACTTCCCCGTCCTTACGGAAAAAACACACTTCTTTGGATTAAGTCTAAGATTATGGCTAGCCATAATCTCAAAACATTTTTCCAGGTCTTGAGCGTGTGTGTTGGCTGTCCTGCTTTTCACCAGCATATCATCGACATAGGCCTCCATGGTCCGTCCAAGTAAAGGCCTAAACAATTTGTTGACCATCCTCTGGTAGGTCGCCCCTGAGTTTTTCAACCCAAAGGCCATCACCTTGTAACAGTATGTGCCGTCCGGAGTGAGGAAGGCCGTCTTCTCCTCATCATCCTCTGCCATGAAAATTTGATGATACCCTTTGAAGGCATCCATAAAGCTGAGCAACTCACACCCGGCAGTTTCATCCACCATTTGATCCGGGCTGGGCAGAGGGTAAGAGTCCATCGGGCATGCCTTGTTGAGGTCTGTGTAGTCCACGCACATCCTCCAGGTATCACCCTTCGGGGCCAGGACAACATTGGCCAGCCACTCAGGGTAGTTTACTTCCCTGATATGACCTACCTCAAGTAGGTCCTTGACCTCTTTCTTCACAAAGTCCCTCCTATCACTTGCCAAAAATCTCTTCTTCTCTCTTACAGGCCTAGACCCCTCAAGAACAGAGAGACGATGGCAAATGACTGACCGGTCAATCCCGGGCATATCAGCAACACTCCAGGCAAATAATGATTTATACCTGGTCAACACCTGGACAATCTCAGTCCTTAGCTCTTCCTGAAGATCAGCCCCAATTTTGACCTTCCTTTCAAGATTGGAGGCATCAATCTGGATCTATTCCGCGTTTGTATCTGGCTCGATCCTAGCCTTCCCCTCTCCCTTGTCAACTTGCTGGGAGACCAAATCAATTTGTTCGAATTGGCGGGTCATTTTCTTGACTGCTTCCAGGTAGCAGGACCGGGCATTCTTTTGATCACCCCTTTCCTCCCCGATCCCATTGGGAGTGTAGAATTTCATGCACAAGTGTGCCATAGAAATGATGGCCCTGACATGGTTGATCCCAGGTCAACCAAGAATGGCATTATGCACACATTTGATGTCGACCACAACAAATCTCATTTGTTTGGTCACTGTCCTGTTACCTGACCCCAAGGTAACCGGTAAGGTTATCTGACCTTCCGCTTCTATGCTAGCTCCAGTGAAGCCTGAAAATGGAGTTTGCAATGGCCTCAACATGGATCTGTCAAGCTTCAATTTCTTGAAAGCATCTAAGTATAAAACATTGACACTGCTTCCTATGTCAACCAGGACCCTGGCCACATCAGCCCCATTGATATCCATTGTAATGACCAGAGGGTCATTATGATCTCCCCCCATCCTGGGCAGATCCCTATCAGTGAAAGTGATAGGTTCCCTCCTTGCCTGCTTCCCATGTGACTCCAGGGAAACCACCGCCACGTGCAAACTCCTGGCCCAGTTCTTCCACTGGGAGGCAGTGTCCCCGCCTTCTGGGCCGCCTCCTGCTCCGCCTCATTGATTTCATGGACATTTGAGGGTGTTGCTTCATTCAAAGTCCCCGTCAAATTCACCGGATGTATAGGGACCATCCTAGGGACAAATGTCGACGGGGTCGACACCGGAGGTGGCATGATTGGTGGCGTCATGTCGGGATAGGCAAATGGCATGAAGCCACCTGCCTGTTGCATCATGGCCATCACCTGTTGATAGCCCTGTAGAGCCTGAGCATTTGCCGGGTCAGCAGCAAATTGAGCCCAAGCTGACGGGTATGGTGTGAATGCTCCACCAGGGGTTGTTATCGAGCCTGGGAACATTGTTGTCGTCGGCGTAGGAGTAGGGGTTGACATGATTGGGATCATGCCAATCGATCCTACAGTGGTGATCGGAGCAAAGGTCGTCCCCATGCTCGACATCATCAATGGGATGGCAGGAGTGCTTTCACTCGCAGCCTGACTTGACACAGCGTTGTAGTTGCTCGAAGACATGATTGTGGATATTTAGTGGGGGTAAAGTTTTGACCTGGTCGAAAAAACTTTAAAAATCGG